TTTTTATTATATGAAAGGTGTATACTTTTTATGTGCTGCATCGGTTTTGCAATATTCTATGAAGAACTCAGGGTAGGTCATGTCCACACCAAACAAGGATTAGTCCATTCTCGCATTGCTAGAATGAAATATTTGAGACTGGGTAATTTATAAAGAGGTTTAAGTGGCTCATGCAGGCTGTACAGGAAGCATGATGCCAGCATCTGCTTGACTTCTGGGGAGGTTTCAGGAAACTTACAATCATGGTGGAAGGCGAAGGGGGAGCCAGAAAGTCACCTGGCCAGAGCAGGAGCAAGAGAGAAAGCAAGGAAGGGAGGTGTCACATACTTTTAAACAACCAGTTCTCGTGAGAACTCATTCCCTCACTATCATGAGGGCAGCACCGAGGGATGGTGCTAACCACTCATGAGATCTGCCTCCATGATCCAATCATCTCCCAGCCGTCTCCACCTCCAACACTGGGGATTACAACTGAACATGAGATTTGGGCAGGGACACAGATCCAAACCATATCAACAGGAAAGGGAAGCAAGGCTGAGAGAGAGGGTTTCTTGTCCTAAGTCACATAACCAGGAGGTGGTGAAGCACGGTTTTGATCCTGGATTGCTGACTTCAAATCCAGTACTGTTTGTACTGCATGCATTGCCCCCAAGCAAGTGAACACACTGGTTTGTAGCTCTGAGATTTCTGGCCGTGTATGAGCCAAGGCAGAGAGACACCTAGGATCAAGCTCTAAAGTGAGGTAAATATTGATGATTTCGTGGTACCATCAACCAAACAGATGTATGTGAGAGTACACATCTGTGGTATGTGATGTTCTTTTTATGTATCTGTGGAGGTAGAGAAAGCGGTAAGAAATAGAGGAGACCAAATCTCCCTTTCCTACCCTTCCATGCAGTCTGTGATGTGGGGAAACAGGGTCTGAGATTAATACCAGGAGGGGTCAGCCCTTCAAGCCTGCACACTGGGTGTGGGCTTTCTTTTTGGTGTGGACCTGCAGGCACTGTGGTTTCCCTTCAGCCAATCACTCTGTCTACCCCACACAGGGCCCTGCATTGGAAAATGAGAGTCCAAGAAAAAAATGGCCAGTTTCTCGTAGGTCACCAGATTTTGCTATACTCATGGCACGTAGTATTGAGGAATAAAGAGGCTGGCCAAGTCATGGATACAAGATGGCGAGTTATCCTTTCTGATGGAGATGGGGATCCAGGTTGTGCCAATTGTCAATCATAAGGGGGTCTACACCATACCAGCAATACTTCTGTGTACATGATATAAGGATGAAATCTGATCAATGTTCTCTAGGCCACATTCAACAGACAATAACAAGATGGAGCTCCAACAATCCATTTTTGTAACTCAGTGGGCACTTCAGCATTGAAACTGTGCCAACTGACACTGGTCCTGCTGGCTTTCGTAGATAAGAATGCAGAGAGCAGCAGGCTTCCCAGTGGCTGCCCTGTGAATCCAAACCACATGGTCCCAAGCCAAGCAGGCATGGTCCCACAGCAGAAAAGCTTCTGGTTATTCGGCAATCACTTCTCGGAATCACAGCCACAGGTAGAGCAGGCAGAGGGCAAGTGTGGAGGGACATGGCTCTGAAAGGTAGCCTGCTGTTGCTTCCGAGACAAAGCAACAAAGGCCCATGTCCCCACACCCAGGAGCCACAGTCCTATCGGGAGTTTAAGTATATTCATACCAGAATGCAACCAAACACACTGCAATTTCTGTCACAGCCAGATGTACATATTACAGCACCATGAGCTACGTTATCTTGAAATGATAGTTCTATCCAACAAACAAGTTGTTGATCATCTACAACAAGCTCCTGTGACCCACCAGGCTGCATGCAGCCCAGGCAGCTTTGAATGAGGCCCAACACAAATTCGTAAACCTTCTTAAAACACTATGAGATTTTTTTGACTTATTTTTTTTTAGCTAGTCAGCTATCGCTAGTATGAGTGTATTTTATATGTGGCCCAAGACAATTCTTCTAACGTGGCCCAAGGAGGCCAAAAGACTGAACAGCTCTGTTCTACAATGTACACAGCACACTGTCTACAATTTTCTAAATGTGGCCCAACACAAATTCCTCAATGTACACAGCACACTGTCTACAATTTTCTAAATGTGGCCCAACACAAATTCGTCAACTTTCTTAAAACATTATGAGTTTTTTTGGTGACTTTTTTTTTTTAAGCTCATCAGCTATCGCTAGTTTTACTGTATTTTATGTGTGGCCCAAGACAATTCTTCTTCTAACGTGGCCCAGGGAAGCCATAAGATTGAATACCTCTATTCTGCAATGTACATAGCACAGTGTCTACAATTTTCCTGGATCTGAAAGAAAATTATTTTTAATTGAGAACTATATTGTTTTGATATATTTGTCATCCAGCATAATATGTACATCAGCACTTCAAATTGACTTGCAAATTGATTTTTAAAAATTCAATACAAATAAGAATCAATGCAACAAATGCTAAAATATAATAGTTACTAAGGATACTTATTCCAAAATAGCACCACATTGTGATCCTTAAAAATATACTATCAGTAGCTGATTTACAAGTAGAACAACTTTTAATTGTACTACTTATAAATCAATAAGCAAATTGCTATCTAATTTATAGAAATAAATCAGATTAACCTAAATACCTTAAACTAGAAAATATCAGAATGAATTGAAAGTGTACATGAGAACCTAAGAATACAAAAAAATTATTTTTAAAATTGCTCTCATGCAAAATCAAATCCTATGACCTTTATGAAAGGGTTTGCATTTCATTACTTACCAGCTGGCAGCCTTCTAGGGAGTTGACTAGCTGAGCATTCTGACAAGAGAGAATTGAACCAGCCAAATTCAGCATTACACACACTGCAGAAAGCAGCATGAAAAAGGTTATCTGGAAACAAACCAAACAAGAAATTGATTATTCACTTGGAGAGGCTCAAAGGAAAAATGACATGGCTTTACGACAGCTTTCATTTATTAAACAACAGTTGATCACATAATTACATGAATAACATGTATGTGTTTTAAAGGAAAGTGGTAGGTTATTTCTCAAACTTCCAAATTCATGTGACCCGAAATAGAAAAAGTAAGATCTGTAGGAAGCCACAGCAAGCTACCATGGTTTTGTTTAAAACCTATTATGATAAAATACTTAAGGAGTTAAACTTGAAAGACTGTGCATTATATACTCTTAAAAGTAACAAATTGTACATTATTAAAGAAAATCAAGTGAAAGAAGTATACTTATTAGAAGGCCTTTAGGTTTGTTTTAATTTTTATTACAGAAAATTTCATACACATGCAAAACCAAAGAAAACAGTATAATGAAGTCACATGTGCCCACCACCCAACATCAATAATGAATCCACTTACAGCCAACTGCGCTTCATTTATGGCCCCTACCATCTGGATTATTTCGCAACCAATACCAGGCATGATAAAATTTTACCCTTAATATTTCTAAAGGAATTGAGAAGCTTTCTGAAAACATAGCCAAAATAATCATCATATCTGTAATAAATAAAAATTCCTACCGGGCACGGTGGCTCACGCCTGTAATCCCAGCACTCTGGGAGGCCGAGGTGGGCGGATCACAAGGTCAGGAGATCGAGACCATCCTGGCTAACAGGGTGAAACCCCGTCTCTACTAAAAATACAAAAAAGCCGGCATGGTGGCGGGCGCCTGTAGTCCCAGCTACTCGGGAGGCTGAGGCAGGAGAATGGCGTGAACCCGGAAGGCAGAGCTTGCAGTGAGCCGAGATGGAAAAAAATGGCCAGTTCCTCGTAGGTCACCAGA